AGAAACAATGCTGGAGATTGCATAATAGACTTTTGCAAGACCAATGGCTTATTCATTGCAAACACCTTCTTTAAACAGCATAAGAGATGACTAGACAACGTGGATCTCAACAGATGGACTGCACAATTTACAGATGTTGGCAATTTGTAGAAATCAAATTGACTATATCTGTAAAAAAAAAAAAAAAAAGCCAGGGCAGACTGTGGAACAGACCATCAGTTGCTCATACACAAGTTCAGGGTACAGCTGAAAAAAATTAAAACAAGTCCATGTGGGCCAAAATCAAACTATCCATTGCATTAAGCAAATCTGCTGCAAAAGACCTCTTTAAATTGTTCAAAAGCAAAGATGTCAGTTTGAGGTGTAAGGTGCGCCTGACCCAAGCCATGGAATTTTCAATAGCCTCATATGCATGTGAACACTGGTCAATGAATAAATGAAGACTGTAGAAAAATTGATGCCTTTAAGATATGGTGTTGGAGAAGAATATTAAAAGTACCATGGACTGCCAGAAGAACTAACAAATCTATGTTAGAGGAAGTACAGCCAGAATGCTCCTTAAAATCGAGGATGGCAAGACTTTCTCTCTCATACTTTGCACATATGATCAAGAGGGACCAGTCCCTGAAGAAGAAAAGCATGCTTGGTAAAGTGGAGGGTCAACAAAACAAAGGAAACCCCAAAGGAGATGGATTGGAACAGCGGCAGCAGCAATGAGCTCAAGCTTAACAACAATTGTGAGGATGGCGCAGGACTAGGCAGTGTTCCATACTGTTGTGCACAGAGTCACTGTGAGTCCGAACCGACTCAATGACACCTAACAACAGATACAAATGATAATAAGCACTGGACTGCGAACCACAAGGCCTGTGGTTTGAGTCCACTAGACAGACTGTGGGGGAAAATGAGGCTTTATGCTCCCGCCAAGACTGAAAATGCCTCAGAGAGGTTCTATAGAGTCACTTCAGAACCACCCCTACGGCACTTAACAACAACAAGGTAAAAGCCTGCCAGAGAAAGAGGCAGCTTTCTGTTCCCATAAACAAATACGGCCTCAGAAACCCTCACATAAAGTCACTATGTATCAAAATTGACTTGCCAGCAGTGGGTTTGATTTTAAATCTTGTGGTATTATGTCTAATATAAGTATTTAAATCTACAAGCTTTTTCCTAAGTACTGCTGCTCATTTCAAAATATATTTTAATTTACTTTTTAATTCTTCTTTAGTCTATGGGTTAAATTGTATTCATCTTCCAAATATTTGGGTCTTCTCTAGATATCTTATTGTTATTTATTTCTAATTCACTTCAATCCTTTGAAATATGCTGAGATTGTTTTATGGCCAGCATATGATTGATGTAGGCAAAGGCACATTCCATATGTACTTGTTCTACAGTTGTTGGGTAAAATAGTCTGTAAATGTCCATTATGTCTAGGTGGTTGAAATTGTCAACCAGGTATTCAAATCTTTAATGATTTTTGGTCTACTTGTTCTATCAATCACTGAGAAGGTGATATTAAAATCTCCTACTGTGATGTGAATTTATTTGATTGTCTCTTTGGTTGTATCAGTTTTTGGTCCATGCTCTTTTGAAGCTCTGTTACTAGGCGCATTCATGTTTATAACTGTAATGTTATCCTGATGTATTTGCCCCTTTTATCATTAAGAAATATCCCTCTTTATCTCTAGTAACATTCCTTGCCTTGAATAGTATCTTGAATTTTGTCTGGCATTACATTAATAAGTACCCTAGCTTTCTTATGATTGGGTTTTGCATGATATTTTCCCCATCTTTTTACTTTCAGCCTGTGTCTACATATTTAAAATGAGTTTCTTGTAGATATCATATACTTCAGTCTTGCTTTTTAAGTTCAATTTTGTCACTCAAGCAAGGCATGACTTTGTTTCCAGACTTGACCCACAAGTCTCATTCTCTGATCTCATCTTACAGTATAATCTCTTTATTGCTACAGATAGAAGACCAATTGATCATTCCCAGCAGCAAGCTCATGCCCTCATTTCTTGCTGGCTTTCATGTTTAGCCTGTCTCTGCTGCACAGAGATGCTACTAAGGACAACCACGGGCTTGAATTTAAAGTGGCACAAGTAGGTCTAGTTGTGTGTTCTTCCTTTAAACAACATGCCTTGTTGTTGTTGTTGTTAGGTGCCATTGAGTGGGTATCGACTCATAGCGACCCTATGCACAACAGAATGAAATACTGCCTGATCCTGGGCCAATCTCACTATTGTTGCCATGCTTGAGCCTATTGATGCTGCTACTTTGCTAATCCATCTCACTAGGGGTCTTCCTCTTTTTCTCTGATGCTCCAGCTTACCAAACATGATATCCTTCTCCAGCGACTGGTCCCTTCTGACAAATGTCTGAAGTATGAGAGATGACGTTTGCCTGGCAAACTCTAATTCTGGATAAAATCAACTCTGTTATTTCTATACTTACATCTGGCTTTGCGGTGGTTATTTGCCGTGGAGTTGGTTCCAACTCATAGCGACCCTGTACAGGGTTTCCGAGGCTGTAAATCTTTATGGGAGCAGAACGCCTCATCTTTCTCCCGCGGATCAGCTGGTAGTTTCAAACTGTTGACCGTGCAGTTCACAGCCCGATTCGTAACCACTACGCTACCAGAGCTCCTTTACATCTGGCTTACTAAATGCTACACAGCTGTTAATATGGGCACCACACTCTGTATATTTTCAAATACTACTGTGTAGAGGTAAAACATGAATAAACCATATAATGAAAAATTAAAATGATAGTTACATATAGACTCAACAGAACTCTCCTTCATCCCCCAAGTAGTCCCCCAAAGCATCTACTGTTGTAAATAGGTTGGCATATAGTCTTCACATGTATTATTTACAACCCTGGTGGCACTGTGGGTTAGGCATTCGGCTGGTAATCTCAAGGTTGGTAGTTCAAACCCACCAGCTGCTCCACAGGAGAAAGATGAGACTGTCTGCTCCCATAAAGATTTACAGTATTGGACACCCTACATAGGGTCACTATGAGTTGGAATCTACTCTGTAGCAGTGTTTTGTTTTGTCTTAAATATAGATACATACACATACATAAACATATCTATTGTTGTTGTTATTATGTGCCCTGGAGTCAGTTCCGACTCATAGCAACCCTGTATAGGGTTTCCGAGGCTGTAAATCTTTACAGGAGCAGAAAGCCTCATCTTTCTCCTGTGAAACAGCTTGTAGTTTCGAACTGCTGACAATGAGATTAGCAGCCCAATATGTAACCACTACACTACCAGAGCTCTTTAACATATCTCTATATGTCTGTATCTCTCTCTATATAGAGAGAGAGAGATCTATATATATAGATATCCTGGCGTGGCGATGTGGGTTAATGCGCCAGACTATAAAGCCATTTGAACTGAAAGGTCGGCGGTTCAAGCTCACCAGCTGCTCCTCAGAAACCCTATACAGGGTCACTATGGGTCGGAACTGACTCAACAGCACTTCACAACAACAGCAACACATATATATATATATATATATATGTTGTTGCTAAGTGCTGTAGAGTCAGTTCTGACCCCCATAGCAACCCTGTATAGGATTTCTGAGGAGCAGCTGGTGAGCTTGAACCACTTATCTTATATATCAAACAGACTTTTCAGTCATATGTATATATACACATATGAATATGAACAGATAGCTAGATTATATTAGATGCTTGGTTGGGCAATTTCCTTTTTTACTTGATATTTCTTGGTTATCTTTTTTCTCAATAGATAACAGATATACTGCCTTCTATAAAATATCCCATTCCTTGTCTGCTTCCATAAAGATTTACAGCCTCAGAAATCCTATAGGGCCACTATGAGTAGGAGTAGACACGATGGCAGGGGTTTGGTTTTGGTTTTAATTTACATTAAGTTTTGTTCTTTTTTTTTTTTTATCATCTTCACTATGTAACAATGTTAACATGAATATTCTTGTCCGTGTCTTTCCCTGAGCACATGGGCAAATATTTCTCTCAAATAGATCTTTTAGAAGTAGAAATGCTTTGTCACAGGGATGCATTTAACAATTCAATAAATACTTCTAAATGATCATCCTAAAAGGAGGGGTACTGTAATTAATTGCCCTCAAATGTACAGGAGAGTTACTCCCCACTGCAGGGTTCTCAACCCTGCTCTGTTCGTTTCCTTCCCTAGACACCTCTCTCCTTCAACATCCACTGTAACTCAAACCTCGTATTGCAACCCCAACCTAGTGAAACACACACATTCTTAGCAAGAAATCTCACCAACTATTCCAACAGAAAATACCACTAGAGAACCTTCTTGGCCCCCTATCAAGCCTAAGAAATTCTACCACCCACCCCATCCTGTCTTTCTGTCTTATTATAATAGGGAAAGAGGAGATTAAAGACCTTCCTCCTATCTAAAATCAGTCTGGTTGTGGGCCCTTCCTCTCACAAAGCTGGCTACATTGTCTAAAGGTCTCCTCAGCTAACTTCAATTTCTCTTCCGCACTCAACGGCCCATTGAAACCACTTTCCGTAGGCTCAGCTTGGGCCTCCCTTCAGTTCTATACCTTAGGTGATAACATTGCTCACTCCTTTAAGACACCCTCTTCATGACATAGACATGTGACTTTTCTGACTTTCTCAGTGGCTCTTCTCTCTCAGTGTCTCCTGTAGGCTCCTCCAGTTCAAATCAGGGCTTCGGCCATTCCCAGGCCTGATTCAAATCTTAAAAGCAGGAGTTGGGGCTCTATACTCACTCTTCTCTCCCTGGGAGCTATCAGCCACTCCCCCCTTCAGTCATATCATCCCTGTCTTCTCTCAGATCTCCATCTTCAGCACAGACCACTGACTTGTCACAAACAGACCTCATTCTCTTCCATTCCGTCCCACCTTCCCTCCACTCCACTCCCTAGCTCCTCCTCTGGGTTGTCTTCCCTGACTCCTGTCTTCTCAAGCATCAAGACCCATCTGTGTCCACCGCCACGTGGCTCCAGTACCTCGCAGACCTGGGGAATGTAGTTCTCTTTGAAGTAGCTCCTCAGCCAAGGTTTAGCAGTGCGGAGAGAGGCCATGACCAGAGACCAGACTCAGAAACTTCACTCCTACCCAGTTCTCCGCGTGCCCTGACAGCAGGCAGCACGCCCTAGCCCAGGGCTAGCGCGTCCAGCGGAGGGCTAGCGCGTCCAGACGTTGCCTGGCAACCATGGAGGTGGGGCGGGGCGGGGCGCTGTGGAGCCCCCCCCACCGCCCCCACCGCCCGGGGAAGGAGGCGGGCCTGGGACCTGGGCTAAATGCACTCCGGGTGAAGCGAGGGGACAGCGCATTTTTGGTCAGCGGTGCACGGGCGGCAGTCCTCAGTCCTCCCATCTGGACGTGCGGTTCGTGCAGCCCCTCGAAGAGTCCAGCTCCCCACCTGCTCCTGATCCCTTTGCGTAGTGGCCAGCGGGAGGCTTTAGGATTTTAGCAGGGCCGTTTCCGGGAGGCGGAGCTCAGACCCCCATTTTCTTTCTCCTCTGCTAGGTTGTGCTTGGGGGCGGCGGTGTCCACCGGCCCTGAAGACCCTGCGTGCCTGGCTCCCGGCCTGCGCAGCAGCAGCCCCGCGAGTCTTCCGTGCCTCAGCGGCTCCGTGCCCCGGACCCGGCAACAGTATGGGCGGCGCCCGGGATGTGCGCTGGGTAGCGGCAGGCCTGGTCCTCGGGGTCGGCGCCTGCTACTGCATTTACCGGCTGACACGGGGTCAGCGGCGAGGCGGCCACGGGGCTCGGCTGCGCCCCTCTCCGTCTGCAGGTGAGGCCACGCACGAGCGGGGGTCAGGGGCTCTTTCACGCCGGGGTGGGGGCCCGAACACTCCACAGGCGTTCGTGGCTTTCCCGCCCTCAGAGTAAAAGGAGAGACCATGGAGGAGGCTGGCTAGGAGTGCGAGGCCGGGAAACCCAGGTGGAGGGGGCAGATCGTTCACTTGACTTGGGTGGGCTTTGCGTACTGAGCCCCTTCCCTACCTTCCCTTCCTCTTTGTTCAAAATCCTGAGATGAAAATTTCCCACACATCGGTTCTCGTGTTCAGAATCCTGCAGACGATGGGTTTGTCAGATGCATGTTGATTGCCTTGAAAGCTTGCCCAGGCCTTTGTGCTACCAGAGGGTTTCCCTGGACTGTGGATGGGTCGTTTCTGAGCTTGGAGGCTTGACATAAAATTCTGCATGCAGTTCCCCTGAAAAAAAGAATACCAGACGGGCAGTTCTAACTGCGCTGGCCCCAGCCCCAGAGCGGCCAGGTAGCTTGAAGTCACCCTGGCCCCGCATCTCGCCTGCCATTTTAAAAGCCAGAAAATCAGTTTTTTAAATATAAAATTGACCAGAATCCTGATGTATAGGGTGAAAATGAGGCATATAATGGATTCAGAAGTAAAAACAGGGTCCAGGGCTCCTGGTCATAAGACTGAACAGTGATAATTGGATTAACGGTAGGGTTTTAATTTAGCTGCCCAGAAGGATAGCTTGTTTCCCATAATCTACGTTTGACCTTTTTTGTGTGTGTGCTGATTGCTTCTTTAAGCAATATGTGTACTTAATTTAATAATAGGAGTCTTATGTATTGTATTCTTGAATACAGGACTGTTGTTGTTAAGTGCCGTACAGTCGATTCCGACCCATAGCCACCCTGTATAGGGTTTCCAAGGAGCAGGATAGAAAGTAAGTTATTTGTAATCCTGACTCCCCAAAATGACTACCATTAGTAATTTAGTGTACATTTTTAAGGAAAGCATACAGGTAGATACGAGATCATATCAGCACCTGCTGTTGTATAACCTTTGCCCAGCAATGTATTGTGGACACATGCACAGAGTGATTCACAGATTAATTTTGAAGGAGTAGTATGTTGAATGTTTATAACACAACATAGGTAATAGTGTTGCAGAATTGTTTTATTTTTCAAATTAACAGCAACTGCAAAGTATAGTTAAGAAATTTAGGGGCAATGAATTTATGCTAATATTTAGAAAAAGAGCATAAAAACAGTTGCACAGCTTGAAGAATGTAGCTGCTGTCACTGAATTGTAGAAACTGCTAAATTGGGATGCGTTTTGCTGTGTATGTTCTCAACAGCAAAAATATATATTTAAAATCTATTATAACTTTACTTTGAATAAATACAAGTTATCACTTTTGTCCAGCTTTAGCATGAACATGTAATTAAATTTGAATGTGTGTGAAAATGAATATAATGAAGCAAAGTCTGCTTTAAAAAACTATTTCTGTTTTTTTGCAGGCTATAAAACCTAAGCAGATCCAGCATTTGACTGTTCTTGTTTATACTCAAAACGATGACCTTTTGTCCTCACCTTTAGCAGGAATGTTATTTTAGCATCCTGGTTATCATACCTTGGTCACATATACTGAGCAAAAATGCTGCACAAACAATGCAGTTAGGTTACTACTGTAGCTTTTCATTTTGCCTGAGGTGCTCTTAAAATTGTGACCAGAAAATCCTGTTGCTTAATTTATGCTCTATAGGCATGTGTTCCAGTGAATGGATGTGCCTGGCTTTTAAAAGAAGAAACAGATAATGTGGTCAGCATTAGGAATATGTGTTATTTGTCTGATATTGTCTTACTAATAGAGAACTACTAAGTTCTTACTACTAAGAACTATTACTGGCTGATTTCTTAACATCTCTAAGCCACATTTTCCTATCTATAAGATGGAATGGAGCACAGTGACTCTGTAGGGTAAACACTGGACTACAAGCCACAAAGTCAACAGTTTGAGCCCACCATCTACTCTGTGGGAGAAAAATGAGGCTTTCTGTTCCTGCAAAGATTTACAGCCTTGGAAACCCTGTACAGGGCTGCTATAAAAAAATCTTCCTAGGATTGTTTGATAATTAAGTGGTATCACTTATAAAAAGTGCTTAAAACTATGCCTGGCATCAGTATATGTTTATTATTACTTTTTAAACAACAAAAAATTGATTTTAGATTAACTTTAAATAACATTCTTCTTATGCAGAAGACTTAACAAATTGTTCATATGATGATGTTCTGAATGCTGAACAACTTCAAAAACTCCTTTACCTGCTTGAGGCAACTGAGGATCCTGCGATTATTGAGAGAGCTTTGGTCACTGTGGGTAACAGTGCAGCCTTTTCAGTTAACCAAGTAAGTGAAGTACCCTAGTCTTAGCAAATAAGCTCCTTCCATTCGTATATCCTCTGAGAGCCCAAATTTCTTCATTTATAACATGTGGCTCCTTATGTCCACAGCATCGTCTTTACTTCTGAAAAGCACAACAGAATAGTAACTCTATATGTTAATATAGTTCTAGAGTTTTATGAAATTGGTCACTGGCAGCATGGTCATATTAAGCATATCTAATCATTTAGTGTAAGGAGCTCTGGTAGCATAGTGTTTACAGATCGGGCTGCTAACCTCAAGGTCAGCAGTTCGAAACTACCAGCTGTTCTGCAGGGAGAAAGATGAGGCTTTCTACTCCCATAAAGATTTGCAGCCTCGGAAACCCTGTGCAGGATCACTATGAGTCGGAACCGACTCCACAGTACTTAACAACAACCAACAATCATTTAGTATAGCATGGGATTTTAAGTATTTAAAATTCAGTGGGTTTATAGTAGAAAAATGAAAGCATCTAACATTTAACCAGAGGAGCCCTGGGGGCACAGTGGGTATGTTCTGCTAACCAAAACTATGGTTCCAACCCAGCAGCTGCTCCAAGGGAGAAAGCTGGGACAGTCTGTTTCTGTAAAGATTGCAGCCTTGGAAAGCCTATGGGGCAATTCTTTTCTGTCCTTTAGGGTCACTATGAGGGTAGCATTTAACTACATGTTTTAAATTGTTGACATGATAATTATAGGTTGAAGATGATGTTGTAATATATACGAGCAGAAGTCAAAAAAGCATTGCTCCTAGGATTCCAGTTCATACATGCATGGAATTATTCCAAACAAACTTGTTGAAACACATCTCTGTAGTCAGTGGGTGACTGCAGACAAGTTCTCTCAGTGATGCACTTGCTGTCTGAGCCCCATTAGATCTCAGTAGATATGCTGGGCCAGTTAAATTCAAGACAGAGAGGTCAGCTCAGAAGATTATGGTTACAGTTTTTCTAGGACTTGAAGGGGCTAAGGAGACCTGGTAGAAGAGTATGCTGCAAGTTGGGCTGCTAGCTGTTCTAATCTACCAGCCGCTCCAAGGCAGAAACATGAAACTTTCTGCTCCCATAAGATTTACAACCTCAGAAATGCTATACACGATCTCTGTAAGTCGGAACTGACTCGACAGCACAACTAACACCACCAAAGAGGTAATATTAATAGCATTTTTTCGGACACAGGATGATCATGGGGGCTTACTAGGAAGAACTTTTAAGGAAATTGAAAACTGCATTGGTGAGAAAAATGCCAGGAAAGTTGCATCGAGACATTGTTTTCAATCACAGCAATGGCTGTGCTCTGAACATTTCATTGGGAAACCTTACCTCATCTACCCAATAGCCTTGATCTTGTCCCTTCAGACTTCTTTTGTGCCCCAAATTCAAAGAACATGTAACAGGAACACAATTTAAGCCCCTTGGGGATCCCCAAACTGCCATTTGACATGGTGTAAATTGAGCACAGAATTCTTAAGGGAAGCGTTGCTATTAAGTGCCATCAAGTAGATTCCAACTAATAGTGACTTTGTATTGGGCTTCCAAGGAGTGGCTGGTGGGTTTGAACTGCCAACCTTGGGATTAGAAATCCAGTGTTTATCCTATAGCACCACACCAGGGAAGGGTTAGAGAGATAGAAGCAGCCTTCAGAAATATATAGAGCTAGGTGGAAGATAATGTCATAAAATAGTAGCTTCACATTTTGATACATTTTTTAATAAAAGTGTCCATGATTTTGTAGTAATACTTTTTTACTTAGCTTTATGTATATAATTATTGATGTTTCATATATATAATTTTTATGCATGTGCATATAAAATGTATCAAGGAAACTACAGTATCTAAAATTTTCTGATGATTTCTAAATTATAATTATCCAAAATGATAATCAAACTTTAGTGTGCGTAATAATTATAACAGCTAGAAACTTATTAAAACTGTAGATTCCCAGGCTCCTTTCCCAAAGTTTCAGTTTAATAGGTATGGCTCAGAGATATGAATTTCTTGATATATAGTCCCTGCACCACACTTTGACAGCTGCTAATCCTGGTGTGGTGCTGTTGGCTAATGCATCAGACTGCAGAGTTGTTTGAACTGCAAGGTTGGTGGTTCAAGATTACCAGCTGCTCCTTGGAAACCCTATACAGGGTCGCTATGGGTCGGAATAGACTCGACAGCACTTTACTACAACAACAGTCAATAGCGTAGTGGTTACGAATCGGGCTGCTAACCTCAGGATCAGCAGTTCGAAATTACCAGCTGTTCCTTGGGAGAAAGATGAGGCTTTCTGCTCCCGTAAAGATTTATAGCCTCGGAAACCCTGTATAGGGTCACTATGAGTCAGAACTGACTCCATGGCACATAATAACAACAACAGCAAGAATTTACACCAAGACTAAAGAACTAAATTTGAAATGCTTTCGCCACCTTACATGGGAATAAAGTAAATACATTGTAAGCTTTTTAGCTGATGCCTTTGGTTAATATTGCCATACATGTAAAAGTACTTTTAATTTATACCTTATTTCAGTCCAGTTGTCTCCAGCATGGCATTTACTATACACCTCTGAATATTTAGAGGAAGATATAGAGACTCTTTGTGTGTTGTTTACATCAGTAGTAAATGACAAATGAAGGAACACAATTTTTTTTGAGCCAAAAATGGCAAATTATTGGATTCAGTTGACTTGGACACTCAAGAATAGTATTGATTTTGGACCCAGCTGAATCCAATTCAAGGTTACAGAAAGGGTTATAAGACCTCTCTCTCCCTTTTTCTGCCTATTGGCTTTGTTTATCTCTTACTTTTTTTGTTGTTTTATTTAGTTTGTTTTCTAATTGGTCTCTGTCTCTTTGACCACAAAGAGGTTTCCTTCATGAGGATGAAAAGGAAACCTTCAACCCTGTAGCTCATGATCTAAAAAGTAATTACTGTCTCTCTCTGCCACAAAGTATCAAACCATGGAGCCCATACCAATCCTATGAAGCAGTTGCTGGTTTAAGGGACCACAGTCTGTGATTAATAAGACCTGGATCACATGAGCAGCCTACAGCCATGCAGTGGGAATGGCTGTAACGACAATTATCCGGTAACCCCACCAAGGACTTAACATGATAGAAGAGCTGTTATGTCTACCCCCAGTGGAAAGAGTTGTACCAAGCAAACAAAACTAGTTGTTGGTGTGAAGATGCCTATATTGGAGTATTTCTGATGCCAGAGTTTTCTGTTTCTCTGCAATACATACATAGAATGGGTCGATAACCGCTAGTGGATAAGTAATACCCTGGATATTGTGGGTCAGTGTAACTCACCAATTACAGTGTCTTGATTTGCTTTAACATTAGAATAAAGAAATTGATTTCTGTTCACTACTTGGGAAGAGCCTGAAATTGCAGTGGGAAAGGGTTTTTTTATTCTCCAAGCTAAGCCCTCCCTAATAGCAAAGCAGGTGATGGCAAGTTATCTTAAATCTTTACAAAGAAATACCTTGGCATCGTGAGAATAATTTTTAGCTTATTTTTCTTCTAAGAATTGAAGTAGTTAATGTTGGGGTTTTTTTTAGTTTCGGGGCCAAAGACAATTTATAACAGTTTTTGTGTGTGTTAAGTGTTTTGTTTTTTAAAAACACTTTTTGTTTTAAATTGTGTGAAGGTTTACAGAGCAGATCGTCAGGTTTACATTCAATAAATCATACATTGCATTTCCTCTCAATAATTGCAACCCCCTCAGTGTAACATTATCTGTCCCTCTTCCTCACTGTATTTCTTTTTTGCATTCCTCCTTCTTTCCCAACCTTTCTGATTACATATTTAATTATGGAATCCTCTCTTATATGAGATATCTCTTAACATCTCGAGGAACTAGTGTTAAAAAAATACTTTTGGAAAATGCTACTTTAGTGTTATAAATCCATAATATTGTTCAAAGTTTACCTCTGAGAACTTATTTCATAGCAAAATAATTCTGTTTGTGAATTACTTTAATATCATTACACTAGTTCTGCTATTCCTTTTATCTCTATGCTATGGTTTAAATGGAGTCATGGTGTAGCACTATGTGATAAGCACTGGACTGGGAACCTCAAGGTCAGCAGTTCAAACCCACCAGCTGCTCCTTGAAAACCCTATACAGGGTCACTCTAAGTCAGAAGTGATGCAAAGGCACACAACAACTACAACACAATTTAAATAATTACGTAATTTATGCACAGTTAATTTCTTTACAAAATTGTGGATAGTAAGAAACAAAAACCAGAAACTACATGCAGATTATAATTATATGGGAAAGATATTTTCAGTAAGTTTCTTTAAAATTTTGTAGATATATAGAATTCAAGGAAAGGAAATGCATACTGAAGTCATGGTCTTGTTTTCTCCCTCTTAGGCCATTATTCGTGAATTGGGTGGTATTCCAATTGTTGGGAGCATGATCATCAATCCCAATGAGAATATTAAAGAGAAAGCCTTAAATGCACTGAATAACCTGAGTGTGAATGTTGAAAATCAGGAAATAATAAAGGTATGTTTTCCAAAAAACACAAATGTGTAAGGTGTACTGTAAATGAAAGAAAAAAATAATTAAAGGATGGTTGTAAAACTATTATAGACTATTTTTTGTAACTTTATGGCTAAGAATTATTTTTTAAAAATTGAAGAATGAGCCAGAAGAGTGAGAGACACAAACCACCCAATAAGAGATGCATTGAACTTTGTAAGTTGGTGATCAGTTTAATCTAAAATGTGGTAAAGGATCCAGCCCAGAACCAGATAACATCAACAGAAAAAGACAGTATAAATTAGGAAATTGTGCAAATTTAGTTTATCAACATTTATTCAGCTCTTTCTCTGTGCTCCAGAATATAGAAATGAACATGATACAACTCTTGCAAGAAAGTCAAAAGGAGGATGTGGTATAGTGAATTTACTTGATACGTCTCTTCTAGCCATAGTCTTTGTAAGTCCCATCAAATGACTTGGTTGAGAGTGTGCAGATGTGTGTCTAGTACTCTAAGGTGAAAACTGGTCAGTTTTGCCGTCCTAATGTGTATAAAATGAGTCATCTCAAAGATAGCATCTGGAGATCTCACAACCATCACGAAAGAAGAGTCACAAGTAGACCTCATCATTTGGATCCTGAGATTGCACAGATAAGTGGTGGCAGAATCAAATCCAGAACCAAGAAGACAAAACAAAGCAGAGAAGCGGGCTTCCCAGCCCGTGGAGCAAGTAACACTGAGTAGCTTAGGGAAAGAGTTATGCCTGTGGAGTGGAGTGCTTTCAGGCACTTAATCAAAGAAGCTAGCTTTGCTGACCTACGGAGCTAGAGACGAACACCTTTGGGCTGAGGTGTGTGGTTATGTGCTCTTTGTATATTTATTGGCAGCACTCAGGAAGCTTTGTAACATTCGCCTGAGCACAGCGGAGGCCAGGGGACTGTGTGGTTGAGAACCAGAGCGGGACATGCCTGTGGGCATGGCTCAGAAGAGGAGCTCTTGACCCAAAGGACTGTATTTTCTATTCTGTTTGTTTCCCGAGTAGACCCCATGATTATGGGTATTGGTGAGTTCTGTGAGGCCATTGCCACCCGATTACAAGAGGGACAGCTGGCATAAGAATTGGTAAAGGTTGGACAGTGTAAGTGTAATAAATACCATTTATTTCTGGAACATAAGTTTTCCAAGCTGAATAGGTCATGGCTAGGCATAGAAAAGCTGCTGGGTGAGGTTGGCCCAGAATCAGGCAGTGTTTCATTCTGCTGTGCATAGGGTCGCTATGAGTCAGTACTGACTTGATGGCACCTAACAACAGCATTGTATATGGCAGCATCAAGGGGCTCAAGCGTGGCAACAATTGTGAGGTTGGCCCAGGACCGGACAGTGTTCCATTCTGTTGTGCATAGGGTCGCTATGAGTCGGTACCAACTCGATGGCACCTCATAACAACAACAACTGTATATGAAATAAAAATGCTACTGGCACTGCTCTACTTTGTGCCCATGATAATTACCCTACCAACAGCAGATAAATAAGAAGAACCTCGGGCTGAATATAGTTTTGCCTCTGCTTGCATTTGATAGCGCTAACTATAAAGACAAGTTCTATTTCACTTCGTCCCTTGCTCTTATAACATAAAGTAGCTCTCTAGACCCAACGTTAATATATTTACATGACAAGAAAAATGACCTCCCAGATCTTCCCTCTTGACTTGATCTGCCCAGACCAGTAGATACTGAGTTGGGGAGCGGGGGCAGAAATTGAGAGATCACCAATGAGAACTGGATCTCTAGAGGCCAACTTTCTCCACTGCCGCCACCACCACCACCACCACCACCACCACCACCACCCTCCCC